TCCAAAGAAATTCTCTCTAGAGAAATTCTCCAATTTCTTTGGCCTTTTCCAGAGAAATTCCCGAAAGGGCTGTTCCCACTAAATTCATAACTACTGAATGCAAATCTGATGTAGGCATATAATATAAAAGATACAGAACAAGTCACTTACAGTGGAACCACTAGAAATTAAAGTTGTGTCATACAAAAGATCAATAGCTCTCAAAGCTTCTTCATCATTTGGGTCACTCTTGAATGCAGCCTGCATCATTCACAAATAGAAAGTGAAAAAAAAAAAAAAAAAAGAGCTTGCAATTAGCTGGGGTTATATTGGTACAACGAATAATGAAAATGGAAATTTTCTAATCATTGACCAAATGGTCATACATTCGAGGTGTTAATGATTGGGTGTTGAGGATTGATCTCAAACACCCTTCTTCCTCTTACGACTAACAAATTTATTGAGAACTACAAATGCACAAGGCTAGTGGTTGAGACAATGTTATATATTTTTTATTGAAAGTTGTGAATGTTTTTATGCATCTGTTCTTCGCTTCTTGAATAAAATTCCATTCTTACATTTTGCCATGATTTCATTTACACTTTCATTTATACTTCCAGTTATACATTTGTTGAAATAAACTGATCATAGGGATACATGTAAGTAACTAAGCATAATTAACAAAAATTTCTGCAACTTACCCAAATCATTGTGATTCATTTTGTTTCCTGAATGAAAGTGTTTCTCCGTTGAACAATGTTCCCATTAGGTCCCTCTAAGCACAGACGGAAGCATGTGAAGCCAAGACTAAAGCAGATTTGTCAAAGGCACAGAGAAGCGAGGCATCCAATTCCAAGAGTGATTGCTTCATCCCGTAGAATAGCATGGGCGGCTACCAGGCTATTTGAGATCCTCGAGTTTGGACGCGGATGAATTCTTGAATTTGTTGCACGCGTCGGATCCAGTGAAAGTGGAGCTCAATCGGCTGGAAAATGAAGTCAGGGGTGAGGAACAAGAGTTGAGCTGGACAGGTTTGAGAATGGAGAAGTTTAGAGAGAGAGAGAGAGATAAGTTTTGATTTGGTAAGGTCAAATTTCTCTGTGATATGTTTAGGGACCTTAGACATCAAAAAATAATTTTGTAGATCTCTTCCATTACGCAAAGTAGGAGAGGGACCCTAGACTAATTTTTCCATTATTTTGTTCTATTATTATTTGTAAAGAAGTATTATTATTTAAGTTATCAGATTCTATTTCTTTACTATATTTAATACTCATGCAAATGCTATTGGCAAGGCCAAGAAACCAGATTTTGATACCAATTTCAATTGCAAGTTAATTTAATATTAATTATTAGATTCTACACAATTATAATTTTTTTTAATATTTATATGTTTTTTGAAAAAAAAAATTCGAACTTTTCAAGTCAACTTGTAACATATAAGATTACAAGATGATTGGTCTTGATGAGGTGGAGTAGGGTGTCTAATGTGTACGCCCCAATTAGGATTCGGAGGATTCGGTCCTTGCCGAATTCGAGCTATCAAGAATTATTAATTGCTATTTTCATTGGGACCAAATAAGTTACTTTGCAACAAATAAAGGGGCTTGATGAAGATCTATGAACCGTGATTTTTATTTTTTATTTGTTTCATCTTCTGGTCACTAGATGGATATATAAACACATGCAAAGACACGATAGGATATAAAGTGAAAAATTCAATAGTTAAAAATCAACAATGCAGAATAAAAACAGCTGAGACAACCATACAATGCTCAATTGCAAATTTTGTGATATGGGGAATAGTCTATTTACATATCTATTTTCTAAATAAATAAATTAAAAAAAGTAATTAAATTGAATTATTGCATAATCGATAGTGAACTTGGCTTTTGTTTTCTCCAATAGTAGTCTACTTGCTGTGCAATAATAGCCTAACCAAAAAGGCAATGCCGAGGTGAAAAACTGATAAAAATTACTGGAAAAATGCAATGGTCTAATTTGATTGAGCTTTTTTAACATACATCACAAATATTTTACATTCCAATATGAGAACAAAAGGTAACAGTGAAAAAGATAAATGGACCTACCTACACACACACTATCTATGGGTATGTATATGTTAGGTGATTGTCGCATTGCTCTAACTATTCTGTTTTCCAGAAGTTGGCCCTTCGAAGATCATATCCTTTTCTGTTGACAGATTAATGCTGTGTTTGGTTAGGGGATTTGAGGTGGGATTTAGAAAAGGAAATGGAAAATGTAGGTGAAATGTGAATAAAACATGCCTAAATTTCACCTAGTTTCACACACCTTTTCCCTTTCCCTTTCCAAATCCCTCCTCAAATTTCCCAACCAAACACAGTATAAGCGAATTGTACGAGAGCTATGAGGCTCTGGAGATTTCTCAACCTCCCCAAAGTTATGCTTGGAAAAAACAAAAGAGGGAGCTCCATATCTTTTCTAAGCCCCTCATGACATGTTTGATTGGGTGGATTAGAGTATGGGATTGTGATTATTAATCCGTAGGTCCAATTATCCTATGTTTGTTTTAACATTTTGGTTTAGGATTTTTAATCCAATGGATAATTAATCCGACAAATTTGTAAGATTACTAGTAATGGGGTAGGGGTGAGATTGTTAATCCAATGGATATTAATCCAATTGGATAGTGAATACCACACTAAATTAATAGGACTATTAATACTTCACTATTAATCTTGTGAATCAAACCCTCAAAGTCTTACTCTCCGTTAGTCACTCCACATCAGTGATCAATCCATTAGTAGTTGAAGGATGCTAAGGTAAGTTCAAATAATTGTTGTTCTTGTTGATGACACTTTTCATCTATGCTAGTTTCTTAGGAGTAATTTCTAGGATGATAGTTTTATCCACATGAGGTATGTTTCTCTTATTTTTGTTGTTCTACTTTTCCTTTTCTACCACCTTTTAGCATGAATGAAGTTCTTTTCTTTGTCAAATAAATAAATAATATTAAAAGATAGGTCATTGTTAAGTTCATCACAGAGTGGAAAGAACAAACCTGAAACCATTTGTTATTATAGAATTCAATGCTTTCAAAATTTGCTAATTAATATATAAGGTTAAAATTGATAAATCCCATCCACAAACGATCAAAAACTTCGATACATCAACCCTAGTAAGCAGAATAGAACAGATAATAAGCAGAAGTTCGCAGCCCAATATAACCATCATAGATAACTACATTTTCTCCTGCTCTACTATTTTTAGTTCTACTGTAGAAAATAACAATTCTGTACAAAAAGACAAGGTCATTGAGTATAAAAAAAACATCACCAATGTCAAATGTAAAAGATGTCCAAAACACCTGAAGCATCCCCCTCTCTCTCTCTCTTTCTTAAAAAATAATCAGTATTTTTGCATAACTTCCGACGACTTTTATTTTATATATCTATACTTTATTTCTCTAATTAGTATTATTCAAAGGGAAATAGCAGAAGCAAATAGGAGGTGAACATACTAACAAAGCCTTAAAAAACAAATTTGTCTGCAAATTCGAAATGGAAGATCTCACATGATCTGGAAGGAACCCAGCTGAATTAAAATTCTTCAACATTTTTATGTTATTCAAAAAAGAACTCTAAATTCTAAATTTAGTCAGTGTACCACATAGTCTGATACGCAATGATTGGACCAAAAGGCGCCACCTTTTATGGTGTGTTTGGTTGAGGGATTTGGGGAGGGATTTGGAAAGGGAAAGGGAAAAGGTGTGTGACACTATGTGAAATATATACATATTTTATTCACATTTCACCTACATTTTCCATTTCCCTTTCCAAATCCCTCCCCAAATCCCCCAACCAAACACAACATTAGAGTTCACTACTACTACAACTGCCATCATCAAGCCATGACCAACCGACCTAATGCACACCTGAGCATCAACAGGGTAACTCGCACCAAATAAAAAAAAAAACACACAGTAGGCAACCAATTGATTCAATGTCCCACCGTGGACATGGAATTATACAATTTCTATTTAACATCAGAACAAAAAACGCACGCTTATGAGTAGTTTTTGGCCATCAGCTAAACAAGAACAAAACGAATCAAAACAAGTTAAGAACCTACATCCTATGGAGGCCAAAAAGAATGAACTTCATTAAGGGCTAAAAAGTACAAAACTTCTGTCTTTGAATATGGTTGCATGATTGCATCACCCCCTTCTCTTCATATTTGACTGAGTAAAGCTCGACCACCTTCCAATGCCCAACTATCAATGAGCCTAAACTGAATTGCAACCACGAAAATTTTTATCAATCTCCTCTTGACTTGCAATAATGCTAAACAGATCTAAATATGTCGCCATAGAATGGAACAGCTCTAGAGAAAATATCCTTCAAACACTTCACCCTCGTGGCCTTCTACCGCCGCACTTCCCTCTTTTAATATGTAATCATAAAGCTAATAGTAGTAGTCTGGTATAATAGTTAAACATGAACTTTCACTTCACAATCATATGCCTTCCAAGATAACAAGCATGATAATTTTGCATAAATTCCTCCACCATTCCCTCAAACTAAAGAACAAAGCTAACTACAGGCAAACTTGGAAGGCATGAACTAAAAAAATAAAGGGCAAAATCCATTTTACCCCTTCTCGTACACACATTATATACAAATTACAATATATGTATATATATAATTTTAGAAAAAGATTTTGCGCACAAATAAATAAATAAATTTTGACAAATTTAATGCACTAATTCCATCACAGACTTGAGCATGAATTCAAGAGCATCATTAGAGTCTTGTTTTCTGGGTCAAGGCAACAAAAATGCCAAATTACACCTTCAATATTTTGACAAACACTGGACAGTCTTTCCTCATTTCTGGGTCAAATCTATTTAAAAAAAAAATCAAATCAAAGTATGCCTCCAAGCAGTTGACATAAAAATTCTCACCCCATACAAACAGCAAAACCCAAAATCCCACCATCAGAACCCAGAAATATTTGATCATAAAATAAGTACTCAGTAATAAAGAACTGTCACAATTTACAAATAACAGGGGTGAAAAGACAATTACAGCAAAAGTTGAGAACACATAAAGCTTGTAGAGACAAAAAGTCATGCTTTTTAACATCTATTTCATTCAGTTTCTATATGCACAGAGTTGAGGAACCTGAACAAACTATCCAAGACCAGGTAAATAGATATGATTATTCCAACAATCTGTAAAGTTAAATAAATGAAAAAGATGAAATCATAAACAGTATTCGACATTGATCAAATGACCAACAAATTTATGAACTAAAAATGGAGAAACTCCAAGTACTTGCTACCTAGCAATTGTCATTTCAACTTCATATTGATCTTAGCTCCCCCAATGCAGACTTAATCTGATCCTGCACCAACTCTAACCGCTTCGAATATACCTCCAATTCCAATATCTGTTGCTTCCTCCACTTCTCATCCATCATATCACCACCCCCGAAACTCAAAGGCATCGGATTCAACGCTGTGGCAACCCCTCCAAACCCCCGCGAACCACACAACCCATTCATGGCATTGTGAAGTAACTCCTTAAACAACGGAGACAGACAGCTCCTCACTGTCTCCTCAATCGAATTCGGAATTGAAGCCGCAATTGGTGTCGCAATTTGGTGAGGTTGTTGATCGAATTGCGGTTTTTCATCAATTTTTACCCTCGATCGTTTCCGCGGCGGCCTCGAACCCTTCTTCTCTGAACAATTCACATCAACACCATTACCGTTATGATCAATTGAAATAGGATTAGGGTTAGGGTTAGGGTTTGCTATATCTTCCTCTAATCCAGCTTCTTCGATACTGCTCCAGATCTTGCGAGAGATCTCGAAAGTGGCTTGATCGTGAGGGGTCTTGAAGATGTACTCTTTACCAGACCCGATCTTATTCAAAACGTTTCGGTATTTCTTCTTGAGCCTCCTCAACTTCTCAACCAACTGATTCTTGTTGAAATCGAGCTGGAGTTTAGACTTGATCTGATCATAAAAAGCGGTGGTATCGTGGTGGTGCGAAGTGTTCCCTCCTCGCTGCGCGGTGTAATTGAGGAACCCTTGCAACAGCTCGATCTCGTCCTCGTCGGTCCATAACCGTTGAAACAGCCGCCGTGACTCGTCGAGCGCAGGCAGAGGCTTTCTCTCGTCGGCTACGGCGGCGATTGTGACGTGCTTGATGGGGAGACGGTTGGCATCGGCGACGACGGTGAGAGGGAGGGGGGTGGAGGGGAGGGCGACGGTGACTAAGGCGGCGGAGGAGGAAGTATCGTCGTCGTCATCGTCGTCGAGGTCGTCCTCTTCGACGTCGTCGCGGAGGTGGTGGTGTTGGGAAGGAATGAGAGCGAGGTCGTCTTCTTCGGTGTCGTCGTCGTCGTCTTCGTCGAGGTCTTCTCCGCCGTAGACGGTGGTGCGGTCTTGATCAGAAGCCATCGGGAGAGGAGAGGAGAGGAGAGGAGGGAGTGGGGCTGGTTGGGTCAACGTGGGTTGGGGGTTCTAGAGAGAGATAGAGGGCTCGGACTGGTAGGGCTCGTGGGGGAAGGGTGCGTTTTGTCAAAAGGGTTCACGAGTTTTCTTTCTTTCTGTTTTGCGTGCAAGACTTGGTGAATTGGTCACTATAACACGTGATGTATACCAACTTTAGAAATTCAACTTCTAATGTTTGGTAACCACTTTCGGCAGGGCTCCGTAACTCGAAAATTAAATGATTCGAATGGTTTGAAATTTTAAAATGACATTGTTTTAAAGTATTTTTTGATTTTTTTATCAGTAAAATAATATTTTCGAGCCATTCGAGCTCTACACATTTGAGTTCTCACGCATTTTCCTTCTTGCTCTATTTTTTAATTATTTTAATTTAATTAAAAAAAATCTACTTAAGATAAACTTTTGATTTGCTTTATAATTGGTAAAAATAAAAATAAAATAATTATAATTTGAATATTACATTTTATTTTATTAATTTTTTAACTTATTTTATCTTTTAATGAATTAAATTAGTTTTAACCATCTGCCCAAACAAGACCTATACAACAATAAAAAAAAAACCCTTCATTGCACTCCAATTTCTCAATATATATATATATATATTACACTTTTGCCATTTTTCAAAATTACAAAAAAACTCCTAAAATCCTATCTCTTGATTTCTCCACTCAATTCCCATTTCACCACCATCTCTACCATCCACCACTATTGCCACTGTTACCAACGACTCCCCTTCTCATCATCGTAGCAACCACTCTCTCTTAACAGCGACTCTTACTATCACTTTCACAACTTTTCACTGTAGTAACAACCACTTCTTTTGTCGCTCACTACCGCGTCTATCACTATCTTTGCAGATCTCCGTCGTTGCAACCATCCATGCCATCGTGTTTCACTTTCATCACCACCCAATCTCTCGCTTCATCCATTGAGAGAGAGAGAGAGAGAGATATGAGACAGAAACCCTAGGGTTTTCAGATTTAGAAAAAAGAAAAAAGAGAACAATACAGAGGGATTCATAGCCGGAAAAAGTTATTGGAATGGGAATCAGAGGCATGGATAGAGGGTGGTTAGAGATGGTGAGGAGTGTGACTGGTTCGGTGGTGGTGGTTGGTCATGGCAGTCACAAAGGGATTGTGGTGATAAAGGAGGTCGCAAGAAAGAGAGGGATTGGGGATAGGGGTTTGCTGGTAGGAAAGGGGTTGCGGTTTGGAGGTCGGAGTTGTCGGCGTCGGAAGTGAAGAGGGTGAAGTAGAATTAGGGTTTGAAAATGTGGGGTAAAGGTGAGGGTAAGTTCGGTATTATGTTAAGTGTAAGGAGAGAAAAGCAAAATTGATTTTGGTATAATGAGAAATTAAGTGTAATAACATAAAATAGTGGTGTAAGTAGAATTGTCCCTTTAGTTATTAGCTATTAGAAAATCTTTAAAAAATAATAAAATTTATTTAACAATTTAGATCAAAATAACTTATTTTAATGGTGAGAATTATATCCTATTTCAATAATCTTCTTTATAGCGATCCCGGGTTTACCCTTGTTGTACAGTGATCCGGACATGTGTCCGTGGATGTTGGTAGTTGTTTATCATCTTGTTTACATCCTTTTTACTTCGTATTTGAGTTGTAGGATGTGTTGGGAGGGTTTGTTACAGGTTGGTAGGGCCTTGGTTTCAAATTCCTTGTTGTTGAGTTTTTAGGCGGTTCGCTCGAGCGGGCCTTCTTGCGCTCGAGCGGAGATTGCACACTTTCAGTATTTTCGTGTTCCTGCAAAACTTCTGCAGGTGTGGTTTTTGCGCTCGAGCGGGTTTGTTTACGCTCGAGCGGTGGCGCTCGAGCGGGTCGGTTGGCGCTCGAGCGGGTAGTGCTTCTTGAGTCTAAGTTCTGGGAGGGGGAAATCTACGCTCGAGCGGGTCTTCTTGCGCTCGAGCGGATGTGCTTTATTCCTGTGTCTTGGCGCTCGAGCTGGCATTATTGCGCTCGAGCGTGTCCAGATTTTGTTCTTGGCGCTCGAGCGTCGTGTTCTCCGCTCGAGCGGATCATACGTATATGAGTTATCCGCTGGGTGATTTTAAATCACTTTCTACATTTCTTTCTCTCTCCTACTTTTTTCTAAAAACCATTTTGAGAGCCTTTCTTTCTAAAATCTTACATTCTCTCTAGATTTTGATCTAGCTAGGGTGAGTTCCTTGTCTTTGGCCTTTACAAAAGAGTTGTTGATCGTCGAGGGCTACATTCTAATCTGAAAATCTCGGGTTTTTGAGCACGTTGGGTTTTGTCATCTTCTCCTTTGGGGCTCCGAATTTAAGGTAGGGATATCCTACTCCTCTCTATGGATTTTGTCTTTAAATTTTAGTAATTTGAGATGTTGGGGTTAGTTTGGTAATTTTGTGAAAGTTTGGGGGCTTTTGTGTAATTTCACAAAAGTCGGGGTTTCGCTTATAATAAACCTAGATGCATGTTTGGCATAGAGAAATGGAATAATGTTGAATCATTGATGAAAATGGGACCCTAAGGGTTGTGATGTAAATTATGGAAATTGACCTAATTACATTGTTTGATTAATTGGGATAATTAATTGTGGGAATTGAGGAAAGAAATGGAATTGTTGAGGTTGGGAATGCATGGGGTAAAAAGGGTGTAGTTGAATTATTTATCGCTCACCGAAGTGAAATGTTGATTTAATATCCATTTGTGCATTTATTTTCTGTTTAGAAATAACTGCTTTGGGCTATCGGTGGAGGATAGTCGTGATTGTTGTAGACAATGCATGATGATTAGGCAAACTAAAACTAATCGATTGAATGTGTCATAGGGTATGATGGTGGATTGAATACATTAATTTTATGTATTGATTGATTGTATATAGAACCGATGTGTTTGTATACGTCATGTGTAAAGGAGGAGATGGGGGATGTACTCCGCGGTTTAGGGGAAGATAGGGGATGTACCTCTAAACCAGATAGACTTGGGAGGAGATGGGGGATGAACTCCGTAGACACAGCTCATATGCTTGTCTAGAGAAGTGAAGGTAGAGCTAATATGCTTATCTTTGGGAAGTGTAGACACAGCTCATATGCTAGTCTAGAGAAGTGAAGATAGGGCTAATATGCTTATCTTTGTGAAATGTGGATGTAGCTTGTATGCTTATCTGTGAATGTGGGATATAGTTTTTATACATATCTGTCGAATGATGATAGAGCTAACATGCTTATCTGTTGAAAAAGGGAAAATGAAAAGTAACTTGGACTCATAAGTCGTATGACAAGGCAATGGGTACTTGTTCTTGATGGTTATTGTGTGGAGAGAGAGTACAATATATATTCCAAGAGATATATATAAAAAAAAAACACATCATCAAACTCAAATTTCTCAATATATATATATATATATATATATTACACTTTTGCCATTTTTCAAAATTACAAAAAAATTCCTAAAATCCTAACTCCTAATTTCTCAACTCAATTCCCATTTCACCACCATCTCTACCATCCACCACCATCTCTACCATCCACCACTATTGCCACTGCTACCAACGACTCCCCTTCTCATCATCGTAGTAACCACTCTCTTAACAGCGACTCCTACTACCACTTTCACAACTTTTCACTGTAGTAACAACCACTTCTTTTGTCGCTCACTACCGCGCCTATCACTATCTTTGCAGATCTCCGTCGTTGCAACCATCCATGCCATCGTGTTTCACTTTCATCACCACCCAATCTCTCGCTTTATCCACTGAGAGAGAAAGAGAGAGAGAGAGAGAGAGAGAGAGAGAGATATGAGACAGAAACCCTAGGGTTTTCAGATCTAGAAAAAAGAGAACAATACAGAAGGATTCATAGCCGGGAAAAGTTATTGGAATGGGAATCAGATGCATGGATAAAGGGTGGTTAGAGATGGTGAGGAGTGTGACTGGTTCTTGGGGAAAAGTGGTGGTGGTGGTTGGTCATGGCAGTCAGAAAGGGTTTGTGGTGATAAAGGAGGTCGCAAGAAGGAGAGAGATTGGGGATAGGGGTTTGCTAGTAGGAAAGGGGTTGCGGTTTGAAGGTCGGAGTTGTCGGCGTCGGAAGTGAAGAGGGTAAAGTAGAATTAGGGTTTGAAAATTTGGGGTAAAGGTGAGGGTAAGTTCGGTATTATGTTAAGTGTAAGGAGAGAAAAGCAAAATTGATTTTGGTATAATGAGAAATTGAGTGTAATAACATAAAATAGTGGTGTAAGTAAAATTGTCCCTTTAGTTATTAGCTCTTAGAAAATCTTTAAAAACAATTTTTAAAAAAAAATAAAATTTATTTAACAATTTAGATCAAAATAACTTACTTTAATGGTGAGAATTATATCCTATTTCAATAATCTTCTTAAACCAATTTTAGTGAAAAAAATTGATTTTCAATACTTTATATTTTAACAATTTCATCAAATATAAGTGAAAAGATTTTATTCATCCTTCATTTGATGAAATTTTTAGTAAAAACTTGATATAATATAAATTTTATAAATACGTTAAATCTTATTTTAAAATTTTTTTATCAAATTTAAATTTAATAAACAATTGAAAATACTCTTAATAACAAAAATGATGGAGATTTTTTATTGAATTATCAATTTTCTACCAATTACATACATGAGTCTAGTCTTACATAAATGTGGGATACACTTTTATATGCCTAGTTAGTAAAAAAATTAATAATTTAATAGGAATAAGGTGTAAAATTGGGCTAATTTCTTTTTCTTTTTTTTTTATCAAACTCCTATTTTATGACTTATTTACTTGTCTAAAAGTATTAAAAAATTCTTTGCTAAGATGTTTTAAAAAAAATTATGAAAATAACCTCTCTTTTTTTTAATCTTCAAAAAATATATTTGCATAAAATAAAAAAGATATAAAAATGATTATTATTTTTAAAGTTTAGGGATAATTATTAGTAGGTTCTATTGATTGAAAATATTCACTTATAAGTCATGAGCGAGTTTTTTTTTTTATATATATATACGTATTTTCTCTTTGTTTTAATAATGGAAATTTTTTTAAAAATTTAGATGTGTTTTGTGTCTATGAAATAATTATTTGATACTAGTAAAATTTAGATGTGTTTTGTGTCTATGAAATAAT